CCCCCCCGGCGGGCCGACGAGCCTGTGGCCTCTAGCCCGCCGCCCGCCTTCCACTGCCGGTGGCGCTCTCCTTCCCCTTCCCCTTCCCGCCCAGGCCTCTCTGCGGGCGCCTCAGGCCGCGGCCCGGGCTCGGGCAGGCCGCCACCGCCGCTGCCGCTACTACCTGCCCGGGGGCTAGTCCTCCCCGCCGCCGCTGGCCGCTCGCGCTCGGGCCGCCCCCTTCAAATTGAAACCGTTGTCCCAGCCACCCGGGCCGCCGTGCTCCGCCTTCGGCCGCACAGCTCCTCCATGCCCCGCGCCCCACAGGAATGAATCCGGCCGCGCCGCTCGCCCCGCCCCGCCACGCCAAGCTGCCTCCCGCCCTCCCAGTCTGCGCGGGCTGCAGCGGCTAACGCGACGGATGGTGTAATGGGCTGAGGGCCGGGGGCCGGACAAGCCTGAGCACTGCTTCACATCACTGACGCGGCAGCCGCGCCATTGGGTCGAGGGAGGGCGGCGGCCACAGCGAGCAACCGCCTAGAGGTGGAGCGGGCCGGCCGGCCGGGGCGGGGCGACGCGAGAGGGGGCGGGGCCGCAAGCCCGGCGAAGGATGCGCGTGCGTGCGGCACGCCAGGGAGGGGGCGGGGCGCCATGAGGGGGCGGGGCCACGCGGCGCGCCGGCGGCCTGAGGGGCGTGGAGAGGCTGCCGGGAGCTCGAGGGCTTCTCTTCAGCGTTCCGGGCGCGCTATTCGGGAAGCTGGTTTTGGGGACGCTTGCGTCCAGTTGTCAGAACGCCGAACGGTGCAGTCACCAGTATTACCACCCGTGTACATAGACACCCTCGGCCTAGCCTCTTTTCTCCTTCCTTTGGTGGGCCCTGGAAAATACTGAGCTTTTAATTAGATCTCAACAAAACAAACAAGAAAAACACAAGAAGCAAATTTAAGAGGATTAGTTTTGGGGGCTGCAAAGCATGACTTTTATTTTTTTTTAATGTGAATTCTAAAAAATATAAAGCCTACGAGGAACGGTAAAACTCAAGAGCAGTGTAAGTCAACAAGGTCGAGTTCTTGAACGGTAAAACCAGGAAATGAAAGAAAGCTAGAAAGTTAATAAGTTAATAAGAATGAAAAGAATTACTACTTCATACAGCAAGAAATAAACTTCTGGAATTTGTGACGTTAATACGTGGGATGTATTAAACTAAGTTGAAGAATAGTCTGAGTATGTTTGGGGAATAACACTAATGAATCATAATGAGAACGTTTTTGAAAAACGGATCGTCAATCTCTTGAACGCTTTGTTTTGGGGAATTTAAACTCACACGGCACAGCTCCTTGGTACCATTGGGAGAAAGAGAATATTAGATTAGACAGATTGACCTCCAGCATTGTAAATGTAATCATCATTATTATTTTTAAAGTCATGTGACTTTAAAGACATTTTACAAAAAATCACTTCATTTTTGCATATTTAATTCTAGTGTCCAGAAGTTTATGTAGTTTTGCATAATTGAAATCATAATTTTCATACAACTATGTATTTTGCTTTTTTCCCTTACCATACTATAAAGATTTCTCAAGTTGTTGCAGTATTAATAATTATTTTTAAGTGGGGCATATTTTCCCTTAGGTAGTCAGTACATAGTCTCCACATCGGTACCCCAAAATTGAAGTCAAGGTTACAACTGAGAAGAAAATATAGAGAAACAGAATATAAATGATGAGGGCTGGCTGCTTTACGGGTCACAGTTCTATACTCCCAAAGAGTGGACACCAGGGTACAGTGTCCCAACCAAGGCCTAACCTAAGTTGACCTATCTCTCTTATTGAGTTCAATAAGACGTTGTAAAAATTTCCATCAGTTGTCTTTAAACTGAGATGTGCCCCCGCCAGAGGCTTTTCAAGGGGTGGGTGCACACAGTTTTAAGGCTACCGGTTTCTGAATCTTCAACTTGCGTCTGTAGTATTTCTAAAACCGATTTGCTGGTGAAGGAATGCAGTCAAGGCGTCTCCCTGTTGCATTTCATTTCTCTTTCACAGTAGCCGTAGAGTTCCCAAATTGCAAAAAGAAAGGGCATAACTCACTCGTTGAAAATCTTAAAATGGTGCATTGTTCCAGGGTGTAAAAACCTCAGGCAAACTTTGTCAGTTGTTTTTCTTTCTTTGAGGAAGATTAGCCCTGAGCTAACATTCGCTTTGCCACCAATCCTCCTCTTTTTGCTGAGGAAGATTGCCCCTGAGTTAACACCTGTGACCATCTTCCTCTACTTTATATGTGGGATGCCTGCTACAGCATGACTTGATAAGCAGTGCATGGTCACACAGAGGATCTGAACCTGAGAACCCCAGACTGCCAAAGTGGAGCATGTGAACATAACCGCTGCGCCACCAAGTTGGCCCCCTTTATTAGTTCTTTACCAGTTTAAAATACTGAGCTGTATTAAGAAAGTGTGTACTTCTAATGACTGGATAGCAAATTCTTTTGCAAGTTAGACGGTTTTCAAATAATTGCTTTCAACAAAGTATGACCTTAAAATCACTGAGTTTATAAATTGCAAGTAGTTCAAAGAATTGAGTGACTGATATGAAACTCCTTACAACTTCATCTACTTGTTAAGGTAAAAATATTTTCTTAGAATTTATGAAAATGAAAAATTGAGAAAACACTGATGCTAAACTCTGTCTCATTCTTGTGAGAAGTAGTATTTAACAACAAATGTATACACTAATTGTAAAAAATTACATGTTTAATAATGATCAAAATCTGCAATATATTTTGTATTGTTTTGAATACTTATTACTAATAAATATAATGATACCTCGATCTGGAAGAAAATGTTTCAGCACTTACAGTCTTTCAATCATAGGAACTTTAAATTTAAATATATATATTTTTCATTGCAGAGAAATTTAATAGGGTGATCGATAAAATGCATTCAAACATAAAAATACGTTAAATTATGACATACTCCTAAGAGGTGGGGATGTGGAATACAGTCATAAGTGTAAACAGAAAAATAAATTATGTAAAATATACTGTAGGTAAAGAAGAATTTGTTCATATATCTTTTAATTGGAAGATAGTCGGTAAAATTGCCATGGTATTTAGATTTCATTGAATTCATTTAAAAGAGTGACTATTCCATTTTAAAATGTCGATGTTTACAGTATGCAGGAAATTACACCATTTGCAACTACTTAAACTTAGAATGAAAAGTTTTAGATGTCAACCTAAAAACATTCAAGAGGGTAAATAGTGTTTTATGTAGGCGAACAAAAATGTTTGAAGACCACTGATTTACTCATCAACCCCCTATTGGAGGTAGTCTCCATTTCGAAAGATTTTGGCAATATCTGTTCTTTCAATTTTTTTTTAGGTTTTTTTTCTTAAATAGAAACTCAACTAAAATACCTTTCTTTTTTGCAGAAAGATCTTACAGTGCTTCTAAACACCTACCCCTCCCTACCCTCTATGAATGAGAAGAAGTTTTTTGTTCCGCTTGGTTGGTTTGGTTTGGATTTGTTTGGTTCCAAAGGCTTTAGACTCTGGTTTAACCAGCAATTACTGTCTTCCCAAAAGCCTCAGAATGCTTTTGGGGGCATAACAAGAAGAACCATGGACTCAAGTTTAAGGAATCTGCAGATGGTACAGGTAGGACCTAGAGGACTGGAAGAAAGGGAAGGGGCCAGAGGGAGCCTCTGAATTACCCATTTGGGTGAGTGCCCAGGTGATGGCAGACAAAAAGAGGAACCCCTGTGAGGAAGCAGGCCAATGCCCAGTTTACCCCTGGGGGAGAGTCTTGTGTCACTGCGTCCTCAGCTCTGACTCATCAGCCTGGCCTGAGACCCAAAGCTTCACAACTGCCTGTGAGGGCACCTCCCTGTAAGGCCCCCAGGACACTGTAGGCTCACTACTGAAACTGGCAAACAGTTAGCCATTGATGATTAAGTAGCTAGGAACTAAAGGTGTTTTTTTTTCCTTTTTGCAATTACTGATTAAAGCTTTTAGCTGTTTACCCACCCATTGCTAACTGTGCTGTTTAGGCAATTTGCTATCGACTCCCAGTAGGCGCCTATAGATAACATCTCCCTGGAGCCCAGATCACCATGGTAATGGGTGTGTGAGATATTTTTCAGGGGTTAGAACCCCTTTTCCACTTCAGGCTGGTTGAGACCACCAACCCATCAACTGGGCCTGCACAAATGTTTGATAAGTGACCTTTTGATGTCAAAAGCCTGAAAATTCCACCCTCAGATCATGCTAATACCACCATTTTGTGAATATGCATCCTATGAAGAGCCATGAAGTCTGACTACTCTTGCGTCAATCATCAATTACCTCACATTTCCTCATTTCCAATCACCTATTCCACATTTCAGACCACCTGGACCCCTTCCCCATAAATATCCGTGAGTCCCTATTTTCGGAAAAGTGGATTTGAGACTCATTTTCCCATTTCCTCAACTTGGCTGCCTTGTGAGTAAACCCTATCTGTTGTAATCTCATTGTTTCAGTGTTTGGCTTTCCTGGCGATGGGCAAAAACAAACCTGGTTGGGTAACACTACCTCATACCTTAAAGAGTGATGGCAAGGAATTGTTTTACCACACAAAGAGCACGATCTGCTTGCCACAAGACAAAAGCCAATTGTCAAGTGGCAAGATGGTGGCAGAGAAAGGGTATTTTATTACAGCGTGCTAGCAAGAGGGAGGATGGCCAACTAATGTCCAAAAGAACCACCCTAAGGGGGGCACAGAATCTTGAAGCAGTTATGTAGGCCAGTGGTTTATAAGGGAGGGGGTTAGGAACGTTGACCCTCTGGTGTTACAGACTGGGAGTTGCCACACCAGATCTTTCAGTTTTCATTGATGATGGCTATCAGCATAGACTCTCTGTTTGAGGAGTCATCACATTCCTAAGGAAGTGAAAAGAACGAAGTTATCATCTTATCACAGCTGGGAGGTATATGCGCTAGCAGGAGTCAAAAAATCTACAGAACAGGTGGATCTCCTGGAGGATACAAGTCCAGCTGGGTTAGCTAGTCAGAGGTCGTTCAAAGTTACAACATGGTCTCTTTTCTACAATATGCCTTCCCTCGTGTCAACCTTGTGTTGAGCTGGTTTTAACTGGACTACCAGAGAGCAGACACCTTATTACTAAAACAATGATCATTTTCAAGTGTTTAAGTTGTTTTCTTCTTTTCAAGTATTGCTTTGGGATAAATTTCCAGGAGTGGGATTATGGAACATCTTTCTGGCTTCTCATATATACTGTCATATCACTTTCCCCAAGAGTCAGGCCAGTCTGCTTTACTAGCAGCAAGAGAGTATGCTGAATTCGCCAAATCTTGTCCCCACGGGATATTACATTTTAAAAATTCTTGCTAGCTTGCTATGTGTAAAATGGTACAGAAAATTTTTGCAAATTTGCCTGGCCACTCATGATTTTTTTTGTCCATATAATCTCCTGTAATTAGCAGAATATTTCTTCTACAATTTTCCTTCTGGGGATTTTCAAATGCTCAGTTCTTGTTGGTCTCTGCTTAA